CAGTGACTTGTTTCTGAACACGTTATGTGGTTTTAATGCTATTGGACCTTCTAAAAGACATTATGATTCTTAAGTTACCCGAGTGATTTTTTTTCAGCTTCAGTGGAGTATGTGTACTTGTAGATGCTAGCGTGTGATATGTTTGGGAGTTTGGTTTTTTTCTGAACCATTGCCATCCTCTTCCTTCCACATAACATGTGAGGGTTGTCACAACAGCTGTGAAACTACACTCTGCAAGATGCAGAGACTGGTTGTCTTACTGTGCCAGTAAATTAGGTGTAGCTGTGAAAATACCTTTTTCTGTGCTGAGTTTTTGCTCTGCTGACCTAATCCTTTGAGGTTAAGCAGGCTGTCATTTTCAGCTTGTTTATGAAGTGGAACCTTTAAAAATACCTCTGAACAGGAATTTGTTCCTTCCTAGTTTGGATCATCCAACCCAGGCAAGATAGAAATGGTCTCAGACCACTCACAGGTTTGTGTTCCAGTAAACAGTGCTAACCACCAGTACAGGGGATCAAATGTCTTGCACACACACATGCAGCCCTTTCCCAAGCTGTTGCTTCCTGGCTGCTCTCTACTACAATGTGGCCCTGCCCTCTAAATACTCAGACCACCATGATGTTGCTCCATAGTTACACTCCTTTTTTTGGCTGCTGTGTGGGTTTTCTAATTATTGCTTCCAAAGAGGGCGTAGGGTTCTCCTTGACTTCAGTGTGAGGCTGGAAGAATGGATGCGTGTCCCTGTGTGATTTCTTGGCAGTTTGGGAGTTTTTAAGGAACAGAGCTTTCATTCTCTTGGGTTACTGAGAATTCAGTTTTAAATTAATTGATCATTTGATCAGTGGAGATACCTTCAGTCAGGTTTGCCTCCATTATCTCCTTAAAAGCTATCCTGTCACCCCAAACTCAAATGTAGCTTTGATGCTAAGTCTTTCATGCTCTATGTACCTCCTTGCTTCTTAGTCACTCTGAAATGAAGAAGGAAAAAGCAAAAATAAAAAACCTTGGCCATGTTCAGCTCCTACACTGGTCATTATAAAATAAAAATAAAATCCATGTTAAATTAAAAATAAACTTATCTAGTGTACTGTCACAGACAAGGATGTCTAGTAGCAGTGACATGTAGGGTAAGAGATATAAGAATGATATGTGTAAGAAATGGAAAAGTATGGAATACGACACCCTTCTATCTGCTTTCAAGTCACTAGTTTATTCTCTTAAGGTTGGAGGAGAAATAGTGGCCTAAATTCAGCCTATAACCAGTTGATGGATACATCCCCTTTATAGTTGGGTAAACTGGAATTTATAGGGTTAATTTAAACATTTTCTTTTTTATAAAACTACCTCAAATACTTCTGTATCAGCATGATGCTTGTTAAGGGGGGAGGGGGGAGAAGTAATTTGGCATTCCCCCATTTCTTATCTGTCAAATTATTTGATATGAACCAAAGATTAAGTAAGGGGGACCAGGCAGAGGAGTTTGGTAGGGTTTTTATATATGTTGAGAATTGACTGAACAGTGTGGGAGAAAAAAGAAATGCTTATTTTTTTTCTTGTTTCCTTTTGAAAAAATGTAGTTAGTGGGTCATCAGCTTTAAACATTATTACACAATGTTCAATATTGGTTATTCTTTGAGTAAATGGTGGCTGTTCAGAACAAAAAATGTATTGCTCTACCACATAACTATTTATTAGATAAAGGAGTTGAAATGAACACAGGTTATTAGACTGATTGCTGTATTGTATTCTGGGCTTGGTTCCTTGTGTCATATTTTAGTGACACAAGAACACCTAAATGTCATATAGTTATCAACACTGTAGTCTTAGTTGATAAAGCTGGTTGCTTCTTACAGAAAGGTGTTAATAGTAGTAGTTTTTTTCAATAACTTCTCTCTTTATTTAAATAAGTTCATATCAGTTTTGTAGATTTGATTTTTTTAATTCTTAGCTTTTTGTTGAGTAAAGCCAAATGGTTTCAAAAAAAACTGTAACTAGGCAGAACTTTAAAATTGTGTAGTGTGTCTCCAGGAGAGGTTAATATAACAGCCAGGTGGGATGTCTAAACCTTTAGGTAAAGTCTTGATTTGGAGATTGGGGATTTGCAGGCTTGAAAAGTTAAAATTGCTTATTGGCATGTTTCATTGTTCCTATAATTTTTTTCCACACTCTGCAGTGATTTGTCTGTTGCTGGAGAAGGGAGAAAGGATGAAATACTGAAGCAATAGGCTGGGAAGCTGTGGATACTTTTATGTCATTGTGTATCCTATTAAGCTTCCTCTGTAATAGTGGTATGCTCCATAAATTACCTAGCAGTGTTTTCTACTTATAACTCAAATTACACAGGTTGTTTTTTAGTTTCCTTTTGCATTCAGACTGATGTTGAAACAAAATTATATGTTTGGTAAAGGGCGGCTGAACCAAATAACTGTTACAGTCCCCTGGATAATAACAGGTTACTAAACAAGTACTACAGTAGTCTGTTAATTGTTGTGCTTTGTGCAGTTGTGTTCACTTAGTGTTCATCTCTTACCTTTTTACAAACCTCTCTTATTTTCTGATACCTGAACCCAAATATGATATATTAAACATGAAGCACACAATCTTTCTTTATCAAGTAACCAAGTACACGTTTGTTTGTGGAATATGATCAGAATGATAATCACTCACATTTTATGTGAGTTCTTTTGAAAGAGAGCTTTCAAAAATATGATGTTTTAAAAGATGCTGTGTGTAGGATTTTAAGTTGAAGTTTTCTTTTCCACTTGTGAAAATTTGAGCATGATGCTGAAATTTCAGAGGAAGAACAGCAGAAGTCTCTTTTCACTTCCTTTGGAAATGTAGATGTTTTAAATGCATTGTAAAAATAATAATAATAAAATATTTATATCCCACCAATAAAAAGTAGAAAAAATAGTTTCATTACCAAAGTCCGAATGTGCATTATACACTGTTTCTAGTAATCATTTGATATTGTTAGATGTAAGAAAACAATGTAGATGAAGCTGTTCAGATACACTGATTTCTGTTAAGATCTCTGCTTGTTTTGGCCTCTACCTGTTGTACATTCTTTTTAAGAGCACAGGTAGTATTTGTTGGTCAAACTTAGTTCCTTGCTTTGTGAAACGTAACTTTCAGTTGTTTCTGTGTGCACTTAATTCTTTTAAGTACATTTTTTTTAAAATCCAGGAGCACTGAGAAGCAGGAGTTAAACAGTAAGATGTTGCTTTCTTAAAAGACTTTTCTCCTGGAGTTAAAAGCTTCACAGTGTGTTATCAGAGCAATGCACACGTGTGAATCGTAGGTAGTGCAGCCATTTTGGAAGTGTTGACTAAATCGTTTGTTCATAGGGTCCTATAGAACTTGACTTTTGGTTCAGGTTTGAGGTCTTAAAATATTGAATAAGCTGTGACTGAGAGAGCTATAGTTTAAATTACATCTAGCTCTTTTTTCTTAGTTGGACCATCTGCATTCTTTCAGTCATGCAAGTTACGGATGTTATCGAAGGGCAGGAAAGGACAAGATACCTCGTTCAGTAATTGAAAACCATAATTACATGTATGTGCGTGCAAACACTTCCAGAAGTCATTCAGAGCAGGGGGAAGATACTGCCATTCCATAGATGGAGTCTGTTGCTTTAGGCTTTCTTGTTCATGTCTTTCTTGCAAACTTCAAGGCATTTTAAAGATCAAAAGCAGTATTCTGGTCAGAAGTGCTTATGCTGGAAGGCTTTTGGCCTGTCCAGTCATGAACAGAAAGAGTCATCTAGAAACCATGAAGCTTGCTGTATTAGTAAATGACTGTTTCTTCTCTTATTTTTTTAGACCTTTTCCTGTCTAATGCATATCCTTGTGTCATCTAGACTAGTGTTCTTGTGATCTGAGATAAATAGCAAACTTTTGTGCCTTGGCTCTGCTGTCATCATTTAGTGGGGCTTTGGCTCATACACTGGGTTACTGAGAACTGAGTATCCATTAACATGAAAGTTCCCTTTTTGTTGTCTTTTTTGTCTTCTGTGATAAATGTTGTTCCTCCATTAGAAGTGGTAAAATGTGTGGGAAAAGTAAGGATTTTTATGTTGAAAGTAACTCTGGAGAAATGTTAGCTAGTGCTTCTGTTTCTACTGATTTGAAATCAGAAAAAGAAAGTAGGCTTTGTGCTAGGTCAAGGTAAAAGGCATTTATACTGTAAGCTAGTAAAACTACTAGGGAAGGATGGGGATACCTGTCTCCTGAAGATGTGTCATCCTGCCCCACGTATGACCAGATGTGCACATACTGTGTGGCCAGGGTAGACTTATTGTCATCATATAACCTGCTCTTCATGTGTAGTGTGCAGCATGTTTGAGCATCACATTGGGGGCCTAAAGGTTGAGCTGAAGGTTCCTCATGAGTGGTGGAGGTAGAAGACCACAAATCAATTAATCTGGCTGTTAGTGTGCCAAGGACTGTTAACATCATCTCCCCCTTGACCAGAGTCGCAGAATGTCTTGTCTCTATCTTGTGCCGTACATTCATATTCAGTGGATCTTTATTTGGCATCTCATACATGGAAAACAAAAGCTGAGTAATTTACAGACCATACGTTTTAATGTTGTAAGACCTAGGCAATGTTAAATAATTGAGAAAATCTGGATGTTGTAATACTGTTTACTAATATATTTAAGCACTCATAAAGAAAATGGTTATTGAGTAGATATTATAGGTAAACAACACATGGTGGTCTGTTTTAACTGGGAGCCCTAATGTAATGGTTGCTTCTGCTAATGAGAATATAGATAATCCCTCATACTTACCCTTTCTTGAAAAGATAGAAATTGTTGTTTGCTGTAGGCAGAATGAAGACAAGCTGTTCAGTATTTGCCTTGTAAATATTAAATATTAAGAACAGCATGTATCTGCCTCTGAAGTATGTGGGAGCCTTGCATTAATGTCAATGTATATATTCATCTGTGATTTTGCTTATTTTTGATTGTAACTGTAACTTTTCTTTTTTTTCTTCAGGGAAACTGTATCAATCTGACTGATGCCTTGACTCTGTATGAAGAACAGCTGAGTAGGCTTTATTGTCCTGTGGAATTCTCAAAAGAAACTGTGTGTGTTCCCTCCTACATGGAATTGTATCCTTAAAGACTGAAAAAGAGCAGAGAGTGTGTATTAATAAATCAAGCAAGCCTAGACTGCTTAGAGGTAATGAACTCAAATGCAAGAAGACAGTTGTAATGTTTTTTTTCATAGTAAATGAACTACTGCAGTTTTATTTTGAGAATAATTATAGGAATTATTTCTTTAAAGGTCCCATAAATTCCCAGCTGGTGAAATGATCAGCAACTTTGAAGATCAGACTATGGTTTTGTTAATATTTTTGAGTGTTTCCAGGTGTATTGTTCATGCAATGTAGGCTAAACTGTATGATGAGAGTAATGCTGCCTGCGAGTTCTGGCAGGGCTGTATCTGGTAGGGCCTGTATCTTCCTTTTTTTAATTTTCTTTCACAAAAGAACCCCAAACTAACTTCATACAGATTAGCATGATCCAGATCTTTAAATATTCTCTGATAGATCCATTTGTGAACATACACTAAAACTGGATTTTTAATTGGTGTGAAAAAAGTGATTCCTAGCAATCATTACTACTTTAATGTTACTGAAAAAAAAGTATTCCAGGTGGAGCAGTATACATGTTTCTCAGCAACATCCCATTCCTAAAAATAATCCTTTAGAGTTTCCTCATTTTATGAGTGGCAGGCAAGTTACATAAGGAGTTAGAAGTTTCGGCTTCAAGCCATTAGCTCTAGAGGAGCATTTTGATCTGCTGTAGAGTGATTCTGCTGGCTGTATTTGCCTGGAGTCTTTACTACTTTTGTGTGGTCTCCCAGGAAATGTTTCTGCAGGGTAATGTCTACTGTGGCTGCCCCACTCTTGGAAGGAGATATCTTTCCAGGATCTGCTTACTCATATGTTAAGTGTGTGAAACTCTGCCATAGCCTTTCTACTGTTCTGTGTGTTGTGTTCATTTTGCCTCCCTTCTCTGTCTCTAATCTTGACGCTGTTAAATGCTGTGGCCTGCTGTTCTGGACTCCATACTGACTGTAACAAGCTCCTCCTGTTTCTCATTATTGTCAGCTCTCCAGTGAAACTCAGATTCAACCTTAACTTTTTCAAGACAAAAAATACAGTGAAAGAGCATATGAAGATATTTGCCCTGGTAGCTTACGGTTCCAGATAAACTGGTTATTTTTGCCTTTACAACTGCCAGGCCTTAATGCAGCATATATGTGATTAGAAGCATGCATGGAAGTATGGAGAATGTTGAGTAGGACTTGCTACTTCATTCCTTTGAAAAATACATTTAAATGTTTCTTGTAAGCTAACAGGTATGAAATATTTTAAGCAATAAATTTATTAAAGCAGACCATTAAATAGGTATAACAGAACTTGAAATAAACAGTTCTTAGAGAAATGGGGCAGGCTTTATTAACTGGCTTTCTCTGAATGAATTAAAAATTAGATAATGGTATAGGTACAGGAATGTTGAAGGAGAAGTCATCTTGATGACTCCAGATTAGCCCAAAATACTCTAACTTTTAATTTGACCTTGAACTTTTATAGCCCTTTATCTGCATTTCAGGTACAGGTTATTGCCTTTCTTGAAACTTAAAGATTTCAAAGTAGGAGTATGCATCTCAACGGAAGGTTATGCCTAAATGCTGTTTCACAGGTGAATGAGATGTGATGGTTTGCAGTAGAATTGTGACAAGTAATAAAAATTAGGGGTTTATTTCTTTCTGAAGAATGTGACACATTTGTGACATTCATTTAAATGCCTGAAATCTCTTGAGCCATTGAACAAATCTTTTCACTTAGACAAATGCTCATTTTGGTAACCTGACCAAAAATTGCCTTTGTGGGTACCTGAATGCAGCCAAAGAACTAAGCTGGTTTACTGCTTTTTATTGTTACTTGTTTTGCCTACTTCAAGAATTGTTATTGTGTGTAATTGTTACTTGAAATTTTGATGTTTACCAGTATTTGCTGTGGGAGTAATCTGAAATTCAAGTAGCTGTTGACATAGAAGCCAGCTCTCTATTTTAAGGAGGGCATATGTGTCTCTGAGGTCTCTGCCAGGACCTTATGGTGAACATGGAGGCTCCCATCTGGAGCATGTGTGACCTTGCTGTGTAAACAGAAGAGCATATATCTTTATGTGGTTTTACTAAGTTATAAATCCCAGAAATGTATGCCTTACTCTGCAGCTGTTGCTTTAGCTCTGAAAAGGTGATGTTTGTGTCTCATCCTTCCTATCTGCTTCTCTGTAAGCAGGTGGAATTATGTAGCTCTGACCCCTGTCAGGTGCCCAGCATGGCAAGAGAGCTCGTGAGGATCAGTTGTTTGTCCTGGAGAAGTACCTCAGAGAACTGTGGTTTGAGCACAGCTTCTGTGTGACTGTGCTGAAGCTGGGTCCATCTTCCCCCAGAGAAGCAGCAAAAAGAGCGCTGATACAGCTGCCAGGTGCTCTGTATTTGCTTCTGGCTCAGTTTGGGTGACATCAAGGTCTGCTTTCTGAAGAGTGTTTAGGTACCTAAGGCAAACACCACAGAAGCTTTTAGAGAAAAGCCTAGGTGAAATTTAGATGCATCTGTTAAGTGAATGTTCAATGGAACTCCTGTTGAGGTGTTCAAGAGGCAGTAGACACTTAAATCTTTGCCCAGTGAGACAGTGTTCAGCTGCTGAACAACTTGTTATTAATTTTGTGTCTGAATGTGCCTGCACTAGGGATTCACAAATTGGGTAGCTGGATGTCTCTTTCCTAGTCAAGCTTGCTACTTTACAGTTGAGAAGATAAGCAAAGAGGGATCCCCAATTGGTGAACTTATGATCACTCTTCCCAAATACTTCTGTAGTTTGTTCAGTGGTTGCAGTGCCAAAAAAAAAAAAAGCACCACCTGAAA